AAATGCTGTTCTCGATGGTGCTGACTGTGTCATGCTGTCTGGTAAGTCCTCCGGACGTTTTCCTATGAAAAACCACCGCCAGTGAGCTAGTGGGACTGTCTAAATCCCTTTACCAAGTGAACTTTGATTCTTTCGTCATGAATCCCTCCCTTGACTTCGACTTTGAATTTTAAGCACACAGCCACTGAAAGGCCTTGGCACCTTTACTAAAGCAGTCTTCTCACACCGTTTCCTAACTTAGGACCATCCCTGCAGCTATTCATGAGTCAAATGATACACAAGAGGAATACATTCCTCTCTAATGCCGCTTCCCCCCTCCTTAATAAAGTTGTAGGCTTTTTTTCTCAATGAAACGTTCTTTGGCGTTTCGAGCGTGCGATAGTTCTTGGGATTTAACAATGTAGTGAACTCTCGAATGGGTATTCCATAAATCAGAAAGGTGGGCCTGAAATAGGGCATATGAAATTCCACTGTCTCAATTTTAATGGTGTAAAACAACACAATCTCATGAGCATCTGTGGCTTGGGCGGTTTGACCGGGACCTATAATGCCAGCGTTTAGGCTGAAATGCAAGAGAGTAATGCATTATTTCATGAAAGCTTTTTAACTTTTTCCTCCCCGTTTTAACCAATTAGGCGAGACAGCGAAGGGTGCCTATCCTGTAGAGGCAGTGCAAACAATGGCAAACATTTGCCGTGAGGCCGAGTCAGCCATGTTCCACGGTCAGCTCTTCGACGACCTCAAGAGTGTGCTCGCTCTTCCTACCGACGCCACTCTTACCACTGCCATCGCTGCTGTCGAGGCATCCAATCGCTGCCTGGCTCAGGCTGTAATTGTCATCACCACCAGCGGACGGTAAAGCTCTGTTCCTAGCACTCTGATTATCCCAGAAGGTGTTCTAGGGCATGCAGAAGAAGTGGCAGACGAGTGTTCGGGGGTCGAATCATGACAAACTGATTAGATTAACAATTGACAGCTATGAGTGGATTTAAGAATATCTGAGACTACTGGATGAACTGCGTATGTCTATTCCAAATGCAAGATCAGAGAGGAACCAAAATATCGTACCATTTTGATGTTTTCTATACAGTCTCAAGGAAATCCAATTCCAAGTAGCTATATTTTGTTACAGGGTTGGCGTCTTAGTTGTTTTAGCTCTCGTATATCAGATTGTAGTAAAAATAACAACTTTGTGAGTGAAAGTGAATGCACTATCATCTGTAATCTCGTAAACGTTTGAGAGAATAATGGAAAGCGGCTTCGGGCAATTGGGCGTATCATGTTTCTTCCTTCAGCACCGCTCAACTGATTTCGCGCCATCGCCCGCGCTGTCCAATCATCGCGGTGACACGTCATGCTGTCGTAGCTAGGCAACTCCACCTCTACCGGGCTTGCCACCCCATCTTCTACGGAGGTATGTGCGGCTATCGTGGCTACAGTATGAAAATGTGTGTGCTTTCCCCTTGTTTAAAAGTTGCATGTCCACCGGAGCCTTTACTTTGTCAGTTGTGAAAAAGTTTCTACTTACAAATAGGAATATTTATTCAGGCCCCCAAGCATACGTGATCGTTTTCCCAAAGAGTGATGTGTAAGCTGACCCCAGTTGCAGTGTTTGCCTGTGTAGAGGCACAGGTCATAAAAGCACGAGTGGTCAAGTTTCCAATGTTATTGGTTTATGACACAGGCATCTTCTACTAACGCAACTTTCATCGCTTAATTGCTACCACTCCTTTTTCCTCTCTCCTTGGCCTTCCCGCTTTTCCTACGTAAGATTCGCTCACAACACGAACGAAGAGTTGAACGAATAATCCAAGCATTACATAAGAAATTGTGCAGCTACTTGAACAAGCAGTGGCCACTATCAAATCCCGTTCAAATTTGACCAGTAGATGTAGACATCACTCCCTCAAGCGGCACTTTTAAACAGTCAAAGTTACCATTTTCTCATTGCTTAAAGACTGCATGTGCACCGGTGCTTGTAAGTTGTCAGTTGTGAGAAGAAATTTCTGCCTCCAAATCAGAGAATGCATGCAGATGCCAAAGCATACGTGATCGTTTTCCCAGGGAGAAGAGGGAAAGCTGACCCCATGTCCAGTGTTTACTTGTGCAAGCACAGGTCACAAGACTACGCGTGACCTGGTTCACAGTTTAATTAGTTTATAGTGCAGGTATCCTCTAATAGTACAACTTCCACCACCTGGTTGTTATCACTTCATTTTCTCCTCTTTCTGCTTTGCCTATCTTTCCTACTTTTCCTGTGTGAGATGCGCCCACAACACTGTCCTTCAGATGGTCAAAGGTGGTTGCAAAGTTGGCCATTGGAGAGGTGGATATCCCCCGAGATGGAAGCTGTTGGGTATCCTAGCATAAATGGGCCATGGCAGTTGAAGTGACATCCACCACGAGGACGTCTTGACATTTAAAGCATAGATGTGTGGTCATTTCAGCATCCAACCTGTCAAGGTGGGCGTTTGGATTGGGATGTTGTCGATGCGAGGGCGGTGTGGGGTGGTGACTGGGATGGAGGTGGAGGTGGGGGTGAAGGCGTGAGTTGTGCCTTACCTAGCTTCGATCAGTCTTGCCATTGTACTTCTTCCCCATTTATGGATGGGGTTTAATGCCCGAAGCAATTGAGGCAACAGTCCTGAAAGGAAAACTGGCGTTTGCTCAACACCAACTAAGATGCTATTGGAGAGGGGTAGGTGGTTGTTTGGAATGCGCACAGGACAACCAACTCACAACTCCAACTCATCATTCCCACCATCCATTACCATTGGCATCGGTGCTGTGAACTTGAGGATTGAACAAAGGGGATGGAATTGCTCATGAGGCTGAATTTTCCCCAATTCAAGGGCACAGGTTTTGAATTCACGAAGGGCTTTTGGGAATCACCATGAGGGTCGGTGGTGACCGCTAGTGTGATTCGTTGGAACTCGACCAGCAGATGTCATCATCACTCTCTGAGATGGGCAAGTGAGATTTTGAAGGAATTGAAGTCACCTCTTTCCATTCATTGTGAAGTGTTTTTGTGGCACCTTAGTGTCCTTCTATTTGGTGAGTCCACGTGCCCGAAAGTACGGCATTCTGTTTTCCTTGTGAATGGGGAAATTACA